CATGTGGGGCAATCGCTCCAGCCTTGGTCCTGCAAGGTGCGACGTGCATGCGCCGCTTCTGTGAGGCAGTGCGTGCCATCTCCAGCTTCGAGGAGTTGCACGTAGCTGGCTGCGCACCGCGGCACGCGTGCGTGTATGGCAGGCAACGCATCCGCCCAACAGGCCCAGTAAGCTGCAGGCGCCGTGGTCTTCTCGGCGGAAAGCAGTCCGAGGCCGCCCAGTGCCCCAGGGCAGCAATTTGCCGTGCATGGGCGTCGAGCAGTGTTCTGCAGCGTCGTCCACATGGCGTACGCTGCAGACGCCGAGGGGGGAATGGTGCGAATGGCATGGGAAGCGCGAAGTGAAAAAAAAACAAAAGCTGCCATGCGCACTGAAGGTCGGGAAGCTGGGGCAGTTGGTCTCAACGTTACCATCGCCGGACCATCGCCAAGCAATGTGATCAACTACCTGCCCCGGAAGCAGCACAAACACCGCTGCAGTCAGGTCTGCCACGTGGTGCGCCTCACCAACCCGCTTGCAACAGAAAGTTTTTTTTTTGCCACGCACCTTTTACGACTGCGCGAAAAAGTCCGGGTCCCCGTGCAACTGCAAACTACGGACCCAGGCGGCTCGGGGTGCGGGGGACTGCGTCGTGCAGAAAGTAGAGGAGCGCAGGGGGTTGGAAGCCAGGCATGGATAAAGGCAAGGTATGGCGTGCCAAGCAGCGTTGCAGCAAGGGTACTTTGCAAGGCAACGCTCAGCAGGCACCACCAGCGGCGCAGCCAGCCCTGAGTAGCGGCGCCGCGCAGGGCGGCAGGAGCGCGCTGGGCTCGGAGCCGTACGAGCTGGGAGACGAAGCGGAGCGATGCGGCGCTCCAGCGCCCACCAGCCTCGCACGCAAGGACGCAGAGCCGCTGGGGTCCAGGACGCAGCAGCTCGGGATACGCTGACGCTTGCGCCTCTCAGCGACAGCGATAACGGCACCGTCGCGCGTCGCAGCAGAAGGCTGCGGGCGCCCGTCCCGTGTCAGCGGGGACACCAGCGTGACGTCGCAGCACACGGCCTCGCCGAGTGGGGTAGCCCCGTACGCAACGAAGTCGAGGCGGCGGCGATCAGCAGGATCAACGTCGGGGGCCGAGGTGCGTGCGAGCCATTGTTGCGGGACGACCTGGCCCTCAGCTCCGACGGCTTCACGAGCAACGCGCACCCAGGCGTGCTCGAGGGGCTTGGCTCTGCGGGCCAGCAAACCGGTACGGGGACAGGCGGCATGGTGGTCGCCGTAAGCATCGACTACTGCACCGCAGCCGTGGCCATGTTCGCCGCATCTGTGTGGGGCGACGGGCAAGGGCAGCCGCAGCCGCCGCCGCAAAGCTATGAGCATGCGGTCGGGCGGCAGAGCAGTGCCAGCCTCGCACGGGGTGGCGCTGAGCCAGGCTGCAGCGTGCGGCCCCGATTGTGAGCGGAGCATGGCCTGGGCGGGGGCTGGCAAAGCGGGCAGCAGCTCGGTTTCGCGGAAGTGGGTAGAGCAAGCGCGAGAACCGTGATGCTGCCAGCCCTGGCACTTTTCGCCAGGCTCAGGCAGGTCGCATTGTGCGGGGCGTAAGTCGTTAAGCAAGTCACTCCAAGACGGGCGGCCTGTCCAGTTAGCGCGGTCAAGCGTGCGGCCAGCCTCCTCAGCAGCACGCAGGCACGCGACGGCCGAGGCAGGACCGTGGGTGAGCTCATCAAGGCAGCGGGCCGCGGCGTCAGGCCGGCGGGCGCGCAGAACAGGCAGGGCATCGGCCCAAGCAGCCCAGTATGCTGCGAGCGCGGTGCGTGCGGCGCACTGCAAGCCCCAGCCTCCGAGGCGCGAGGGCAGCAGTGCGAGGCGGCGTGCGTCGGCGACTTCGGGGTCGGCGTCGTCCTCTTCGCCAAGCAGCGCGAGCAAGCATCGCCAAACGGCGTCGTGGCCTCGCGCATAGCTGGCAGAGAGGTCGGGCGGGAGGGTGCGCAACAGATGGTCCGCACGAGGCGAGGCACACATGGCAAGAAGCAGCCACGCACACTGAAGGTCCGGCAGCATGGGGAGCTCATGCAGTAGCCGCCCCTCTTCGAGCAGGCGCGCGTTATCGCGCGTTGGTGTGGGCATCAACAAAGCGCGGGTGGCCGATGGGAGTGCCCAACGCTACGAACCCACGCTCGGTTTCGTGTGCATCCCCGCGCCACACGCCGGCCCCGAGCTCGGCGATGCCAGGAGGTGCTGGCCCTCCAGCGCGGTTGTACACCCGGGTTTTGCCGAGATTGGCGGCGACGCCGGCCCTCGTCTCGATGGATGTGGTAACGACGTCGAGTGACTCGCGTGCCCGAGCGGGTGTAGTGACGAGGTAAACGTCGTCGAGAAAGGCCGCCAAGCAATCTCCGGGGCGTAGCTCCGCGTCGGCGGCGGCGAGGGCGTCGTGCTGGCCAAGCGCGTACAGCGCGGGGGCCAAAGCGTCCCCTTGTTCGCAGCCTTCGCCCTGACAGGTGCGTCGCTGGCCTGTGGCATCCCACCAAAAGTAAGTGGACTGCTGCCCGTACCACATGCGTCGGCAGAATCGAGATCGACAGCGGCCCTGAGCATGCCCGAAAGTGCGTCGGTGCCTGCACGGGTTTGCAGTGCGAGCTGGTACGGGCGGGTCGCTTCATCAAAAGAGTCTGCAAACATCCGTGCAAGAGCGCGCGATACGAGACGCCGGAACGTGTCACCGGTGGCGATGCCGCGCACGCCGCCGCCGGGCTTGCGGAGCGCGGTGAGCCGAGAGAGGCTCAAGGCAGAAACGACGTCTGCGGGCACGCGTGCGGCGGCGAGGAAGTTAGTCGCGTGCGCAAACAGCTCGAATGCCTCGGCGTCGTCGAGCAGCAGCCCGACAACCCAGCAGCGGTGCCACGCCTGGCAGTCCGCAGAGCTTGAGCGACGGCGGCGTCGGTGAGCACGACCGGCGAGTCGGGCTGAAAGTTGAGGAGGTCTGCAGGCACGTCTTGCCGGGGCGCCGGTGGACGCCGTGCCGGATCGGACAAAGCGGCAAAGGTCTCTTCCGTGCCCGGCGCGATCGCAGCAGACGTCAGAACGCCTCGAGCTCTGGAGACCTCGCCGCGCCGCACATTGGCACAAGCAAGTGCCCGGCGCCGAGCGCAGGCGGCCTCATCGGCAGAAGCGTCGGGGGCGGCAGGTGTGCGGCTGGTGCGTGGCGCGCCTGCGGCTTCACGTGCAGCCCCCAGCAAGGCATCCCATCTCCCAGCGAGGAAGTCGCGCGTGCGCTGCAAGAGGGCTTCGCGTCCGACCGTGCCCGGCTCGCGAGGGCGGTGGAGCAGCAACCGCG